GCTAATTTTTAAGGAAGTCAATTTGTTTCTCGCTAATTTAAGTTCGGAAAGAGATAAGAGTAGTCTGAAATGGGAATGGTCAGAAATCGAAGTGGCCAGTTTAGACAAGCTACATATCATTACATGCAGCATGAAAGCTGACTTTGAATCCATATTCCACATCTGCGCGCCTTTGTGGGCGAAGTTACTAGCCGTTGAAGGTCGTTAATTTGCTAAGAAATCGTGCATGAAAAGCGCAAACTTGGCAGAACAGAGTCATGTTTTACTTGATGCTGGGCCACACTCATAAACTTCATCCACGAATGCGCTAAGCAGATAAGGAGTACTGATTCCAAACCAACGTTTATCGCTGCCTTGAATGGTTGGCAGCTTGCTTCGATTGGTCACATCGACTTCTGACATTTCCCATGTGAGTAAGAACTTTTGAGGGAGTGGAGGTTATAAAAAACCTTGGGGAGTGAGGGGGGGGGGGGGAATCATTCAGTGTGTGTGAAACAGGTCCCAAGTGGGGAGAGTGCACGTGGCTTATAAAACTTTGCCGGTTTTGAGCGCTTGCTCCTGGGCAAAAAGGAGTTAAGGGGGGGGGAGGGAGCAATCCTCAAAGAAGTCGGATAGTAAAACGCTATGCAAAATTCGAGTATCTGTAAAGCAAAGAAAGGAGCGATGCAGCTTGAAGAAGCTGGGAGGAAGCGTCGTAATTCTGTTGTCACTTTTGATAAGAAAATCGAAATCTTCTAAAGCAGGAGATCTATGACTATGATGACTTCTGGGGTCGTTACGTTTTTGAACCCGTGCCATCGAAAAGATTCGCTAAAAATCTTTGAAAAGGTCTAATTTTAGTTACATCCTACTTCACACACACAGCCAGTCCAAAGCGCCGCGAAGCGGCGCTTTGGACTGGTCTTATATATAAAGTTGAATGTCTGTCTGTCTGTCTGTCTGTCTGTACGTATGTGCGGAATAGAAATTTTTATTTCTGAACCGATCGGGACCAAACTTGGCACACATATACTTCGGGGCAGGGAGCGTGTCATATGCTACTTTTCGTTATCGATCGATATCGATTTTATCGATTTTTTGCAAAATTTGAGCTACGGGGCTGGGAGTTGGCACAGGGGGGTAATCGAACATGCTGATCACCCCCGTGGGGGTGATCAGCATGTTCGATTACCCCCCTGTGCAAAATCCCAGCCCCGTAGCTCAAAATTTGCAAAAAATCGGTGAAATCGACATCGATCGATAACGAAAAGTGGACTATGACACGCTCCCTGCCCCGAAGTGTATGTGTGCAAAGTTTGGCCCCGGGCGGAGCCGGGTTTGCCATCTAGTGTATCATATGAGAGAGACGTGTATAGGCCGTCCGCGCTGCGCACAGAGGGCAACGCTGTTGCGTCCATAAAAGATACTTCGTGATTGGGTGGCGTCAGCCACGCACTCCGAAAAAAATCTTAGGGGTGCTTCTCAAAATTTTCGCGGGTCCCCAACCCCTGAAATCTGGAAAAAGGGGGCGTGGCTGACGCCACGCCCCCGAAAAAATTTTTTTTACAAGGCTAATTTGAATTTTTAAAAATTTTTAAAATTATTTCAATTATTTACAAGTATAAATAAGTCACTTGCACATTTTTATAACCCACATAAGTAACTTTCAAAAATTTCGCGACCCATTCTCGGGGGGGGGGGGGGCGCGCGCCCCCCCCCCCCGCCCCCCCCCCCCCTCGGTACGCCACTGCCAGATAATAAAAATGCAGGTTTTCTGCTGTCAAGCTGAATACCTGTGCCATTTCACAAAATATCGAAATTTTTTTACACTGGAGCATTTCAGTAATACTTTTGATCCCAAGAATCGAACTCATGTTTCAATCCAGCAAATTTTCCATGTCAACCAAAATACCAAACTATCGATTATATGTATTATGAGGATGGAAACTGTGGGGGAAATAAAATATTGGCATGTCTGTTAATTCAGATCAAATGAGTATTTGTTTCAAGAGTACTTTGGAAAAAATACCGGAACATCTAAAATTCTTCGGGTCCTCTCAAGCTGAGCAGCACCTGTGGCAAGGGTGTGCCAGGTGCGAATGTACCTGCGTGCAAATCTGGGCCGGTAGTAAACCTGTCGAAACGCGCAGCTCAAACTCAGAGTTAACACGCACCTTTCAGGGACCATCTCAGGCAGCGGATAGGACCCCTCCGCCGGAGAAATGGCAGGGTCGCGGCGTTTCCCCAGCGGTGGGTCTCCCATTTGTCCGGCGGAGCCCTCCCATTTCTCCGGCGGAGACCTCCCATTTCTGCTCCGGATATCTCCCATTTTCTGCTCCGGATACCTCCCATTTCTGCTCCGGATACCTCCCATTTTCTGCTCCGGATACCTCCCATTTTCTGCTCGGATACCTCCCATTTTCTGCTCCGGAGCCCTCCCATTTTCTGCTCCGGAGACCTCCCATTTTCTGCTCCGGAGGCCTCCCATTTTCTGCTCCGGATACCTCCCATTTCTGCTCCGGATACCTCCCATTTTCTGCTCCGGATACCTCCCATTTTCTGCTCCGGATACCTCCCATTTTCTGCTCCGGATACCTCCCATTTTCTGCTCCGGATGCCTCCCATTTTCCGCTCCGGATGCCTCCCTTTTCTGCTCCGGATACCTCCCATTCTCTGCTCCGGATGCCTCCCATTTTCTGCTCCGGATACCTCCCGTTTCTGCTCCGGAGACCTCCCATTTTCTGCTCCGGATATCTCCATTTTCTGCTCCGGATACCTCCCATTTCTGCTCCGGATACCTCCCATT